AATATTAATAAAATTTTAGTGGTTGGGTCAAAAAGCTTCAAAATTTAATATTAGGTTTCCAACATATTTTTACAATAGCAGTTGAAAAATAAAAGAAAGTTATAGTCAAAATTTTTTTTATAAGCATTAAAGTTTAAATTTTGACAACATACGTAAAAATCATGGAAATTCGCAAATTATTTTAAGCTAGAAATTTATCAAAAAGTTTTTAATAATCTATAATATATCTTAGACACATAAACCGTCTTTGCTCAGAATTGTTTTTCGTTTACAATGATATAAAATCATTGGATTCAAATTTAATTCTATCCATTACAGTAACCCACTTGTAACCTACTGTACAACAGAACGACATTCACGACTGACCCGTTTTTTTTTGTTGACGTTTTTAGTAGAAATACAAATTACTTGTGATGATCAGATGATTAGACATTAATTGTACAATTAACCAAATATTAGGTGATGTATTAMATGCGGACAATATCGTTGCAGTCATAGATAAAACATTTTTGAGCTAGCAGCATGATTAAAATATATCATACGTCTATATTTAATCGTGATTAGCAGTAATCGCTTGATATTATTTAAAAATAATATGAGTGTTTGAAGTGTTTCAGAACATATTATACCTTCCAATTATAATCATGAATCATGATGTTATATTGTTATTAAATATATTTATATGGATCCACATTTACAAATGTGTATAAAATGTTCACAAACAAGTTATACTCTTACTTTTCTGAATCCTGATGAGTTCTGTTACGTGTGAGAGATACTTCTCGTCAATGTGTTGTCGAAAAAACTATAGCTAGACTCTAGCTAATGACACTTTAAAGTCTAAAATAAATTAGAATTGTACTGCTAAGGTTAACTCGTGAAGTACGATGATATACGCTTGCTGATTTTACATTCGTACTTTTTAGGCTGAAATGACTTAAGATTACATGTAATTTGGTACTATTCAGTTTTGTTAAACCTCATCGACACAGTATATCCTACGCGTTTTCTATAAAAAGTAAAGACATGTATAATGAGGATGTAAGAACAACTGCAACAATATTTTTATTTTAAATTTACAAGTAGGAAACACTTTTATTTAGGTGTAAGACAAACATAAAATCAAACACTATTTTAAAACTTATCCCGTACTAGTGTACTACGACAGTACTACTGTGGCTTCACATGCTCGATCGTCGTACCTACGCATACGCTCTCGCCAAATCACTCAGAGACAATGATGGACATGTTTGCGCGTTTGGCAATGTTATGGAAGCAAAAATGGTATCGCCTTAGCACTTTTTGCTTCGCAGACGAGCTATTTTAACATTAAAATATCCCCACCTATGTTACATATATATTAAATAATATTATATTTATAATAATCGATAATAACTGTCTACAGTTGTCAGTTATACAGTATACGATAGTAGGTATATTGTTAATTTTTATTGGATTAAAATCATTTTTATATTATATACTTCTATAGGTACTACCTATATATTATATTTGTGTTAATCTTTAGATTTACACATTTGGTAGCGAATATCATTTTAATTTTAATATAATTTACAATATTAATAATGGGTCAATATATAATATTATTAATATAATATATTATAACACTACTCCTACTAGGTTAGGTAAAGTAAATCATTTTATTAATAAATATTGATATTATTATCTAAATACTTAATAGTTAATATATTGATTAAGTTAGATACTTATTTTAATTTTATAAACTATTAAAAAACGTATATGTATTTTTTAAATCACTTAAGTCTATTGAATATTTGAATGCTTGAAACGTGATAATTTTGGCAGAAAGGGAATTATTATTAGGTATAAATTATATGGTTTAAGCATACCGGTACGTTTTTGGTTCATACCGGTTTGAGCGAATGAATTTCTAGGAAGTGTGACCCAAGTTACCTAACTTTAAGATGCCTTGTTAAAGTTAACTGTATTCTGTAAGCCGTAAGGTTTAGAATTTAGTTAACAAAATATTATTAAAATAGTTTTCCTGGTCCATGATAATGTTTATTCAGGATTTTGTATATAATATACTTCTAATTGTTAGTAGAAAACTCGCAGCATAGACATTTTTATTTCTGTTTTATTCTATCTATATTTCATAAATCATAAATCTACCTGCAAGTTTCTATTAGTTAATAGGTTTTCTATACTTCTCAAATATTAGCTATACACTTAGATTTAAGCTATTTAAAAAAATGATAAACGTTGTTCATTATACATTGTTCGACTGAATCAAGAAAACATGTAATCTATAATCCCTTATATAGTTATAACTTATTAATATATAGCCATTCATTTCTTATTCAGTGGCTATTTATATATTAAGTTCTTATTTATTTTTTAAAATTTATAAATATATATATATATATATATATATATATGTATATATATACATATATTCACCACCTCATAAGTAAAATCGATATACTTTTTCCAAAGCTCAAGTATTTTTATCTACAGTAAAATATAAAAACACACATTGTTGTAATGTCATTACTTTTATTTACGCTTCGCTCAGAATTTAAAAATGTAAATTACCAATTTAACATCTTTATATATAAAAAAATAATAATCTTTTATCCAGTCAAAATATTTGTATTAACATACATTTTTACATTTGTATTAAATTTTGCTTTAGATCATACGCATATGCCATAATACATGGTAACTACTATTACTAGTTCTGGAGTAGTACCTATAGGTAGTATAGATAATAGATCCAACGAGTATCACGCTATGCTGTTTGTAACTTGTGAACAGTCGGATTGTAGACACCTTCACTAGTAGTGCTGTGTTTACGCGGTAACAGTTTCATTTTATATTGCTCGTGAATAAGATTTATTTACGATTTTTGTATTTTGTATTACGTTTTATTTTACTCCGCTTAGTGTATATTATATGTTTAATTTTAAATGTAAATTCTGATCAGATTTCACCATGACTTGTTCGGACAAGGGATATACTAGGATTAATATCCTTTCAACGTGCAGTAGATCGGTAGAAACTGCTAAACACAAACGAATTTTTATTTCAAAAAGGTAATAATTTAATAAAATTAAAATTATATTTCTAAACAGTCATTCAATTTTTTAAACATTATACAGAGTGTCTCACAGAGATCTGACAAATGAAATAACTTTTGTTCTAATCAATATTTAAAAAAATAATTCATAGACTTTTRYGCTACATTTTTTATTTTTTAGTACTGAAAATCAAAAAATTAAAAATTGATAAAAAAATTTTTCCAAATATTCAATATAGGTAGCCAATTTGTAATTCTGATTTTCAGAAAATGTACATGGTAAAACATTTATTTAAGTCAAATGACTGATTTTTTACAATTTTTTTAAATATTAATATTTTCGCAAGTAAATTACGATCTAATTTATGTTAGTAACATTTTAATTTCAAAAAATATTTTATATGAACATTTTATAGGTTCATGTTAAAATCTAATTAATTTTATTGAATCTACTATTTTATTATAATAATATTATTTRGTAAATAAACTCATTTTTTGAAATTAAAATCTTTCTAACATAAACTAGATTGTAATTTACTTAATGAAAATATTGATATTTAAAATTTTTTTAAAAAATCAACCATTCGAATTAAATAAAYGTTTTATCATATACATTTTTCTAAAAAAAATTGAATCTAAGCTTGAAAATATAGAAGAGAATGAAAATATTTAAAAAAAAATAGCATTAGTTTAATTCATAAATATTATAGGTAATAATAAAATTTTGAAAATAATAAATTAGGCAGTTGATTTACTATTATTGTATAAACGTTTAAGTTTAACTCTAAAATCCAATAGATCTGTCGGTTTTAAACTAACCATATCCTATAATCAAATGTATAAGATAAATCAGTTTGACAGACCATAGTAATATATATATTGAGTAATTATAGTATGTTCTATAGTTTTMTTCATATCCATTTTTAATTTTTTAATTTTTCATGATTCTTGATATTGTTCTTTCTTTGATTTTAATTCCGTTACTATTATACATAGTAACCTTACAATTTATTATTAGTTATTTATTAAACGGTAATAAATACAATATCAAGCCATTTAGTTAATTCGAAAATTGTAAACATTGCAGTTAATATGTGTTTTTGGCACTTATTATATATTTACATCGCTTATATAGACTTTAATTATAGTATAAGGTTTTAATTTTAACAAGGATCAATTAAACAAGTATTGAATACCTACTTTTTGTATTTTTAGAATTTTAAGTTTTATTATACATGAGTTGTAATCATTTTAGATTTATCTTAATTCGCCTTGAACAAAACGGTATTCATTATACGATAATATTGGTTGAACTGAAAATCTTATCAATATTTTACGCAACGTATTTTTCATATATGTTATATTCATGAAGTAAAATTGGACATTTTTATTGGAGGGTGGCTTTATATTATGTCAACATTTGAATCAATTAACTTTTAAGTTTTTAAACTGTAGTGCCTATATTACATAAAAATCTGAGCTGAATATTTATTTTATTATTTAAAACCCAGTGAATGCAACTTATATTCTATAGGGTGTTTTTCTATGAAATATTCTGAATGTTTTTCCTAAGTATACTCATTCCTATTTAATATTTTCGTTTAGTATAAACATTTATTAAAATTTGTTTTTTGAAATTTTTAAGTTAACTTAAAACCATTCATATTTTTGAATAGGTAATTACTTATTATATTCTCTATGGTATTTACGGAATGTTGTGATATAAAACTATTTTTTCTAATCAGAAGTCAGAATCAAACTATTTTCTCTATTTTTTTTTTTTGGCAGATGATTTTATTTCAACAATTTAAAAATTTAGTTTATTATGGATGATAAAGCGTTCTTAAAAATGGTCTTACTCCTACAAATCGAAAATGCCTTTTTGTTAATATAATAATAATATGTTTCTTATTATTAGGAAATATTAAGGAAGCATTACTTTATTTAACTTTTATAGGGGTGCAATGACCTCCTTAACTCATCAACCACAATTTATCCCTATAGTTATAGCAGTAACTTAATTTGAAGAAAATCAGTATCTGCAGGTTCATTAATTTTGTTCAATGCTCTTGTGAAATTCTGCAAAGATAAAATTAACTTTGCATTCTGATAAATAAAAAAAGTTAGAACGTCATATTGTTATTGTTGTTACTCTTAAATATTAACTAATAACCTTGGCTCTTGATTAACTTTTTAACTGTGCTACTTACGACTACATATGAATGATGTTCATAATATGATGTAAATACAGGCATTGTTTATTTTGAACAGAAATGTGTGTTCACTAGATAGTTTTTTATTCAAATAACTTGTTATATTAAAATAACATATTAAGTATAAACAATATTATATACCTACAAGTTATAGTTGCAATTATTTGTATTATTGGTCATTGATATCCTGTTGAGAAATTATTACAAAAAGGATGAAGCAATTCTTAAGCTTAAGAACATTAATTATTAATATGCTCTGTCATTTGCATGCTGAGTACGGAGATTTTTATTTTGTTTTATTTAGCCTTATTTCATTTTAACCATAAGCGTTGAGTTCGTAAAAAACACAATAAAGACATAAAGTATACAATTTAATAAAATGTTTTTGTTTTCAGAACTAGCGAACTTGTTGCGCTCATGGCAATTTCGTCAACTTTATTTTTATTTTTACACACTAGGGATCTGCATACACGACTTAGGTCATTACAATCAGTTACAAATTCTGCATCAACTTCAGGTAAATTTTAAATTTAAAAAAAAAAACTAAAGAGTTGTTTGTTATTTGATAATGCACAATTAAAATACAATTATATTCAATTTGTGGTTGACATAATATCTAATATAATAGCTAATATAATATSGTTAGGTACCTAGGTATTTTTAAATATAATAAATATTTAAGTTACCTAAATATCAACCCTCGATGTAAACAATCGCATACTTTAAAATATAGAATAATAATATTTTAATTTTTTGGAAATCACTTTTAAATTGGCAGATGATGGTTGTATAAAAAATATCAAAATTAAACACTAATTTTGTTTATAAGCAATGTTGTATTATTATATACAAACTAGAAAACATTGAAGAATTTGATCTGTTGACTGTTACATTAAACAACAAAATCCATGTTGACCGTTTTGGATCATAATTTTATTAATCAAGAAAGACTAAGCGTTATTTTAGATGATTTACAACTTTGATGCTTAACAACTTTTATAAAATAATAAATAATAATTTTAAAACACATTTTAACATTTTCCGTAGGTACCTATACTCGTATATGAATATATAAATTATTAAATTAATGTGGGTGGTTTGGAATGACCGGTGTCTACACACAGTTGCGTACGTGTTCTGAGTGTATGCACTGGCCGATGTTGCTAGCTTTTGGATGGGGACCATTCGGGATTTTTAGCAACAAAATCCTTGCCACACTTACGATGTGTTCCAAACTAACTAGTCCTCCCTAAAAACAGGTAATAAGCCATTACCTAACTGTTTGTAGTGGTTTTGCTTGTCGAGTTCAGGATTATTAAAAATAAATAAATAAACTTATAAGCTATACAAGCCTAGCAATTATTCTGAAATTATCTTAATAAATACTATAGAAATGTTTATTTTTTTAGAACTCTTATATATCTATAAAATTTGTAAAATTTAAATAACGGTCGTATTATAAATTTTAATGCACTTTAATTTTTACTTAAATAGTATTGTAAAATAATTTGTATATGCGTTTTTAATTTAATTTAATATTTATTATTTACCAAACAATTTATAAGATTAAATAAGATTTTGGGTTTAAAACGTCCAATAATTTCTAGAAAATCACA